AAATGAGTTTATTTTCGATCCAAGCGTCGTCTATAAGTCCATAGCAGCTGTTCTTAGTCTGTCATTATCTCAGCTGAGGTTTTATTCGTATTTCAGGCGAAAGGCTTTCCTTGCTCGCAATTAATGTCATCTTGTGACGGGAGTAGGAATTATTCATACGAAACTTCCCATTTCTGAATATACAGTCATCTTTGAGTCCGAATGTTGGTCATAGATTATTCAAAAAACTTTCTCTCCCTATCTCTCTGTCCGTCTCTTTCTTTGGCTTTACCTATTTCTCAGTCACTCTCTTTCTCTTTATATTTTCCTTTCTGGTTCTCTGTCTGTCTGTATCTATCAATCGCGTTCTCTCTATTTCCCTGTTTTTAGTTTTTCTCGTTCTCTCGCTTTCTCTATCCGTCTCTGTCTATGTTTCTCAGTTTTTTCCCTATCTTTGTTCTGTTTCTTTGCTTGTCACTAATTGCCTATCTATCATATGCTTTTTCTATTTCTGTATGCATGTCTGTCAATCTCTTTCTTTCTCTCCCTTACACTCTCACTATCCGCCTCTCTCTCCCTCTCTCTCTCTCTTTCTCTCTCTCTCTCTCTTTTTATATATATATATATATATATATATATATATATATATATATATATATATATATATACCGGGGTAACAAGCGAAATTATTCGAATCATGTAACAGTAAAACTGTCCAATTGTTAGATTAGGCTTTGAACTGTTGTATCTTAGAAATGATTAGAGATATCTTACTGGAATTCTTGAAACAACAAGAATGTATAATTACTCTCCAAGTTTAACAGAAGAACCGTGATGAAATTGATCATAACAAATGACATTAATTAATCATAGCTCATGAAAGATTGAAATATCTATCTATCTATCTATCTATCTATCTATCTATCTATCTATCTATATATATATATATATATATATATATATATATTATTCCAGGATCATTTTAAATTTATTCAAGATTATCTTCGCCCTGTCTAACCATTTAACTTACTGTTCTGGAGTAATAAAGTGACTCACAGGTCTCACGTATGATTTAATTTACAAGTCTTTTTTCACTGCTCTTTGGAGTGTCATGGCTGAGACTTCCCACCTCGCTTACCAAACGTAAATTGAATTGGATCTTTTCTAATTGATCGATTTATCTCTAAGTTGAAATGATAATCCTGTTGTGACCTCCTAATCCAGTTTTCCTTTCTACTGTTCACGTTTTTAAAAACTTATTCGCCGTTTTCTTGATGGTTCTTGAATGGACTTTGGACATGGAAGCCAGATCATGAATGTTAGTAACTTTACTGAAGCCCTGAATTAATTTTTTCATCTCACCATTCCTCAGCTGAGAAGACAATGGGAGTGACAGAAAACGATTTTAACTTTCTCTCTCTAGCTGAATAACGCAAATGGTTTTTCAGCCTTACGACAAATGGTATCAAGATGGCTAAACGTCTTATCTAAAAACCTGGAAAAAGAAACTCAATTAATTTAATGGATTTTTAGATATTAAACATTTTGTGGGATGGACAATTATGCTGTAACAGATTCGGATAATTTTGCTGTTACATATAAAAACTTTCTGATTTCTACTCGGCGTTCTATCTTCAGAAGAGTCAAATAAAACCACGAATTACTGTCATATCTGAGATGTTACTGCCCAGCCCTCACTTACGCGACTTCCGTAGCCTTGTGGGTGATGAATTACTTCAAAACCAGCAGCCCACGGACGGAAAAGCACCAGAAAAAGTTCTTGCTAGCACCTGATTACTCTATCGCTTTTAAGTTCAATGTTCAAGGATCTACTTTCCTTTTTTTCGAGCAGCTCAGACCTTCACAGCTAGAACACGCTATGCCATGTTCACGGCGTTAATTCATGGCCATTCCATTCGGAGCAAGTTACACTCAGACAGCTTTATCCGCAGAACGATTCCTTTGTAGACTAAATGATATATTGGCCAAAGCATTGTATAAACAACCAAGATGAAGATAATAGTTTAGATAATATATGGAATGATAAAAATGTTTAATCTGAAACCCCAGAACATACAGAGAGGCCAAAGGATATATTGGCCAAAGCATTGTATAAACAACCAAGATGAAGATAATAGTTTGGATAATACAATGATCTGCGCAATGTAAACAAAATGGCGCCATCTTGGTAATCAGTACGGTGATTTGAGCGTGCCAAATTATTAGAAAAGTGTAAAATTTCCGTGATTGCACAGGTTAGTGTTGCCAACATTGTGTGAAAATTTTGTGTGAATTGATTGGACGGTTTTTGAAATATTAGAAAAAAAAGTTAATAATAATCTCGATAATAATTTGGCACGCAGTGTATATGGGATGATGAAAATGATTCATCTGAAAAAAATAAAACAATAAACCGTCTTATGTCGTTAAGAGGCTGCCCTTCGCAAACTCGTACGCATATATTCTCAAACGTGAAGCAGTTTATATACATTTGGATTGAAATAAAGAAACGTGTGTATTAGTGTGTGTGTGTGTGCGTGCGTGTGTGTTAGAAGACTCATCGCGACACAGATGTATATGGACAATTAAATGATGGAAATTTGGAGCCAATTA